AAATCAAGAGATAAAAATGAAGTTTTATAATTTAAAGCTGCTCGTCGAATATGAAAAGTGAGACCACTTCAACTAGTTGTTGGTGCTCAAGTCCGCCATCCATCTTCCAGGCATTAACGACTCTCATTCCATAATTGTCTCTTATTTTCTCGTTGGAAATTTTAATTCCAATCAATGACTATACGAACGTTGGAGAGGCCGGAACCGGATTGCGGTCTTAAAAGGGTTTGCATCACAATTAAATGTACATCCAGAGATTAATTCCAAATGCGGCAATCATTTAATTGGATGGAACAAATGCTTCAGTGGGATTGCAATGGTGATGAGAGAGAAACCACAATGCTTCATTTCATCATCATCACCTTACGCTTACTTTTTTCAATTGCATCATTTCTAGATGAATGAAAAATATTTTTCATAAATCTAAATATTATGTAACGCACAAATGTTTTTGTTCGCTCATTTTTTAATAAAAATTATTTTTGTTACTTATACGTTTTTTGTAAGTTTGTCTAAATTAAACTTTTAATCATTATTATGACACATTATGCTAGAACTTATTTGAACTGAATTTGAAAAAAGAGCGTTATGAAAACAAAATAAACATTCGACTCCAAACAATCCCTTGTGAGGACTTGTGTAAGGGCTGAATAAAGGGAAAACATATTTCGTTAGACTTAGTAACGATGACTCTGAACAATTTAAATGTAGATCTACAGCGTGAAGATACTCCTCCTTTTTACACTTAATAACAAAATATTAGTATAAATGATTGATAAATACACGCACTCAAATATTTATTATTCAGGTAAATCCATTTGCATTCGGCTAAGTACAAAGTGACGTAATAAGAAGGTAACTCTTACATGCTTCACTTCAACACATCATACATAATGTCCTTGTGACTGACAATAATCTAAATAACTAAAAGTGAAACGCTGTGATGATCAGTGTATTATTACGTGAATTTGTAAAGTAACGAAGAAATTAGATTTGTACATAAAGAAATTAAGAAGACGAAGAAAAAACGCTGTTTATAAACATTATTAAACATTAAAGACATCATAAAAATCGCACATGGATATCGTATAAATATTGACAAAATTTTGCATTTGTATTAACAAAATGTTTATTATAATGTTGATAAGATGCTGATAATAAAAGTACAATATTCTTGAAGCCAGCGCACTCTACAAGCAATGTCTGTACATGTGTTGTCTTGTCTCTTTGCATCGCTCCAATTCTAGCGTAATTATTACGTTCAGTTCTTGTGTACTCCAGTGAATTTTTAAATTTTCCTCAGTCATTCACTGGGTAAATGTGTGTTTCTGTGTGTTTTGTGAGCGTGTCTGTGTGTTTTGTGTGTGTATGTTTCTGTTTGTTAAGCGTGTGTGTGTGTGTGTTGTGTGTGGTGTGTTAAGTGTTTTGTGTTAAGTGTGTTGTGGTGTTGTGTTTATGGGACGACTCATCAGCAAAAACACCAACTTAGTGCATTTAATCTGAGCAGATAACTTTGCAAACTATGGTGTTTTAATACGTTATAGACGTATGATATATGTTAGGAGTTGCGCCAGTTGGAGTTGCACCAGTTGCACCAAGGAATTGCACCACGACCAAAGGTGGTGTACGTTATCCACTCGTACAGGCCGACATATTTCCATCTCTCTCTAGGTATATATATATATATATATATATATATATATATATATATATATATATATATATATATATATATATATATATATATATATATATATACATATATATATATATATATATATATATATATATATATATATATATATATATATATATATATATATATATATATATATATATATATATATATATATATATATATATATATATATATATATATATATATATATTAAACTCGTCAAGCACTTCGAACGGCTGACGACGTCGTTTCGACAGTGTATGTCATCATCAGAGCCTACCTTTAAGAGCCTTCTTCATTCCAAATTTGCAATATCGATATTCGTACTTCTACCTTCACTTCCAGTATTTAACTTTTAAAATTCATTTAACACATTTTGAATATTGTATATTTTATTATCAGTTATCTTAACATTTAATTTATTTTATTGGCAAGTTAAGTACCTTTACTCAAATTTCGTATACTTTTTACATTAATTTTAATTTAATTTCCTTAATCATTTTACGCTTACATTTTCCCAATTTGGTTCGTTTATTCTTCTTGATTTTACAATTTTAAATATTCAATTCATATTTAATAATTTAAAGGTAGGCTCTGATGATGACATACACTGTCGAAACGACGTCGTCAGCCGTTCGAAGTGCTTGACGAGTTTAATAAAATTGAGGTACAACAATTGCGTCTTATTGAACAAACCCAAAAGAAATTAATTAATGCAAAATGGGTAAGAACATTCAACCAAATTTGTTATATATATATATATATATATATATATAATGCAGTAATTGATAAAATCTACCGAATTTCTAGCTTTCGATAATTTTGTAAAACATTTTTCAATATTTCAAACCAAATTCTTGTCGTCATTGTTAGAATAATGTATAGTTTTCCAATTCACTCTCATATATATATATATATATATATATATATATATATATATATATATATATATATATATATATATATATATATATATATCGTGATCTGCTTCAATTGTTGCCCTCAATTTGTCGTTATCAACCTTATATAGTCTCCCTCGACCCACTTCATCTTTGAGGCAAAATTCACTACCAGAACGGAACTCTTTAAACCACCTCTGGGGGGTTTTAGAGTTAAAAGTCTAAAAAAGATGAGGAAAACCCCAAAAGTTTACCTTCATCTTAAAATCGTGTGATGTACGGGTTGCACGATAAAGACTGACCTCATTTCTAAATGTATTTAAAATGTTGTAAACAATTGAAACGTTTTTGTGATTAGAAAGAAATCTACTTGGAATGCTCTGAAAACGTATAACGCCAATAAAAATATTTCAAAAAATTTATTGAACTGTTGGCCACCCACACTAGGCAGTCTCAAAAGTGCAGCGGAGTAATTGCATCAGTTTGCTCACAGAATGTTCATTTCTGACTCACATTCATCATCAACATTCATCACATTCATCAACTCCTTGCTACCTGTATCTCAATCTGGTTTCAGACCTGCTCACAGTACTGAAACTTCTTTACTTAAAATACACAATAATATCCTTCTCTCTAGTGACAATAGTAATCTTACTCTTCTTCTTGCTCTTGACTTCTCGGCTTTTGATACTGTTGACTATACTATTCTCTTGAGACTGCTGCATCTTTCTTTTAATATTACAGATTCTTGTCTATCTTGGTTTTCTTCTTATCTCTGTAAACTTTTTTCTTCTGTTGTTCTCAATAATTCTACTTCTAACTCCTCTACTCTTACTTTCGGGGTACCTCAGGGTTCTATCCTTGGCCCTCTTCTATTTATACTCTATACTTCTGAACTACCTCGTATTATTAATAACTTTTCTTTCTCTAGTCAACTATATGCTAATGATTCTTACATTTATACTTCTTTTCCTCCATCTAATCTCAATGTCTTTCTTCAATTATCGCTTGGTCTGACTTTATGTGTCTTATACTTAATCCTTCTAAGTTTGAATTAATTTGTTTTAATAAATCTAAACACTTTATTACTATTCTTCCTATTATCTTACCTGGTTCTAAAACTCTTGATGTCTCTCATAAGTTTCGTGGTCTAGGTTTTACCTGATTCTACTATGTCTCTCTCTTCTAGGATTAATAGTGTTGCTAGAAGCTCTTACTTTCATCTACGTAGAATAAAAAAACTTTTGCATTTTCTTGATGATCCTACTCTTCTCTTTCTTGTTACTTCGTTAGTCTTATCTAGGATTGATTTGTAACTCGCTCTACTATGGTCTTCTTGACTCTATACTCTATCCTTTAAGTAAAGCTTTTAACTCTGCTGCTCATCTAGTTGCTCGTGCTCCTTTCTTTTGTCATATATCTCCATATCTTGTTCTTTTGCACTGGCTACTTATAAAATATAGAATAATTTTTAAAATTTGCACGTTCATGTATAAGTCTCAATCTAAATTATTTCCTAAGTATTTATCAGATATATTAATTGAACCTAAACGCCCCGGTTTACGATCGTCTTCTTCTTCTCGCTTTTTCTTAACTCGTGTTAAACACTCTTTTGCCAAATCTGCTTTTGCTTTTTCTGGTCCTTTTCTCTGGAACTCTCTACCTACTTCTCTGACTACTTCTCCATCACTTGCGAAGTTCAGAGCGGATCTCAAGACCCATCTGTTTTCAAAATTCATTGAGGAGCGCTGTTGAACATCGCGGAAATAGCGCTTTATAAGTTGATTGATTGATTGATTGATTGATTGATTGATTGATTGATTGATTGATTGATTGATTGATTGATTGATTGATTGATTGATTGATTGATTGATTGATTGATTGATTGATTGATTGATTGATTGATTGATTGATTGATTGATTGATTGATTGATTGATTGATTGATTGATTGATTGATTGATTGATTGATTGATTGATTGATTGATTGATTGATTGATTGATTGATTGATTGATTGATTGATTGATTGATTGATTGATTGATTGATTGATTGATTGATTGATTGATTGATTGATTGATTGATTGATTGATTGATTGATTGATTGAACTGTAAGGCGAAATTATTAGATGGAAAGTTTTTAATTGAGTCTGTAACGTTATTTTTCTGAAGAGTGGCTCGTCAAATAACTTCACAGAAATGCATCACTTGACATGTTTGTCATTTTTTTAAGTCTTTTAGAAGTTTTTTCTTTGAATTTTAAGACATACTAATTTTTATTTTCATTGTTCTTGTAAATTCGTTTAGTGTTTTTATGTATCTTTATTTTGTTTTCTATTTAATTTATTTTTGAAAATGGTAAAATTGGATAATTTAATTTAATAAACATTGAACAAAAATTCCATTAAGAATTTCATTAGACACATTTACTCATGTTGTTTGGTGAGTGAAAAGACGAATGGCTTACTTTTGAAATATTCATAGTGGTGTAGGGAGAGACTGAACGCCAGCAGCACGTACAAACTGTCGAAGACGGCCAGCGCGCAGAGGTAGCAGTTGGTCGACGACTTCATCCACCTCCTGGTCAGAACGACGATGTTGATCAGGTTGCCCGTCACTCCGAACAGCACCAGCAGAGGTGTCAAAATTTTCTGAATGACGAATCGTGTCGCTTGTAAGTTCTGTCGTAATCGCTGCAACGTTTCTAGAGTGACGTCATCGTCGATCACGATGCTGCTGCTGTTGTAGTTGTTGTTGTGGTGGTGGTAGTTGGCTGATGTCGTCAGGTCGTAGTTGTAAAGGAAATTGTCAAATAGTGGTTGCATTTCGTGCATGGAGTGAGAGGAGTTGCCCAAAAACTGATCCTGATACATTGGTTCAAACTGGGTGGTTTTCAATTGATCGTTTGAAGGTTGTCGGAAATGCTCTTTTATGCTGGTTTCAATGAGCAAAAAGTTGAAGCATGGATGTTTTCAAATTTCAATACTTTTTTCTGGATTGATAAATCTATAAAATATACAAACGTTCTTACATGAAAAATCAATAAAAACATTTTTATTCTGAAATGAAAAAAATTGTTTCATTTTGGTGTAAAAAATGGTCATTTAAACAAAGCTGCAAAAATATAACAACATTAGAATAACAATTGCAATGAAAACCCAACAACACATGAACAGCATCACCAACGCACGAAGAAATAGAAGTTACTTTAATCAAAAATTTTTCAAAAAGTTACATCGAAAACGCCATGAAAACTGAAAATCTAAAAACAGTGGTCAAATTAAGCACGGCGATGCTGTTGAACACCATCAAAGGGGAGCATGAAAATTACGGCACCATCAGAAAAAAATGCGTGCGTGCAGATAAAAATAAGTAAATGTTTCAAACAATATCGACAAACACATACAAAAAGCAGCATCAACACGAAAAACAAAATCAAAAAACAACATTAAAAGACAATACACAGGCTGAGCATAAACTTGAACACTATGTATAATGTCTTGGTAACACAAAACGTTAACACACTTGTCATCAACATGTGACGACATCAACGTGACATCAACAAAGGATCATCATAAAAATTAATTTTTATAATGATCCTTTATGAAATACAAATTAAATAAGACATAACTTAATTCAAATCAACTCACAACAACAACATCAACAACGATATTCACAACAATAACAGAGCAAAACATACTCGAACCGAACCACGAATCTAGCTATCGACTTAATACATGGATAAGCGAATGAAAAACGCACTTGTCATCACAGGCCACTGCACAATGCAGTTTGTTATATTATTTACTTCCCGGACAAAATATAATATTGATTTTCCGATGCATAATTTAAAATGAAAAATCTTTTGAAATTTTTATAACTATAGTATTTTGATGGAGATGAAATTTTGCATTTGAGCAAATGTTGCAACGAATGGTATTATGAAAAATTAATTGAAAAAATGCAAAACTTATTTGAATGGGGGATTATATTTAACAAATTTGAATTTACTTATCCACAAAGCATCTATTTGAACAAAACTATTAAACGCCATTCAAACTGTGAGTGAATGAGCATGCAATTGCAAAAAATGCTGGGCAATGAGGTGATCACATTCGGACAGGCCTGCTCGTTTAAATGCAGTTGTTTAACTTTTGCTCCAAGTTACGTTATCTCTTCTCCTCCTCATAAAATATTTAAAACATCACATAAACACACAACGATGATCGAACCAGTTTTAAAGGCGCTCTCACATTCCTCTGTTGAATTACATTAATTAATTTTTTGCGATAGTTATTTTTTAATTTCTAGAGTGTCATTATGTTTTATTGCATACTAAACAGCGATTGACAACACAAGATGGTAAAAAACGATTCGAATGTTTAGGCATACGGATGGAATTTAATATGTCGATGGAATGGGTTTTCAAGATTGTCTCAGAAAAAAAAATCACCAGCAAACTTATAAGCAGTATTGACATATGTGCAACAACTTATTCTCACAGCATCAGTTCTTCAGAGGGTGTATTTTTGCCACTTTTGCTAGATACATTTTAAGATGCAAGGTGCAGCATTAATAGTTTATTAAAGTAAAAATTTTAAGTTTTCATTAATGTTGTTACATTTATTTGAATTGTTGTGCTAATTATTATCTTTATTGTTGTTTAAAATCGATCATCACAACTCATGTTTACTTTAATTTAACATCGCCACAAAATCGTCACAACACCATCGCAACATTGCCACAAAATCGCCACAACGTCAGCATAACCATAATAACCACCACACGACAACATCGTTCGTTCGTTACTAAACATAACATAAACGTTACTACCTATCGAACATTCATGTTGTTTTGGCATTTGCATGATGTTTCCGTCAGAAGTTTGTTTCTCAATTTCTACTTTCATCTTTCCTTTAAAGTACATCTTGAGAGGACTTTCTAAAAAAAATGTAGCCATAAATTATTAATGATAGAGACTGACAACGTTAGCAAATGTTCCGATACTTCGAAAAATATCAAGAAATTGTCTTCTAAGAAATGATTTTCTCATCCAAAAAATGAGCGGCAAAGTTACAAATCAAAAAAATTCTTAGCCACTATTATGTGAAAGCTGCCATTACTCCTGAACGCTCACTGATCTTTTGAGGACTGTCTGCCAGTGATTTGAATAAATTAATGGAAAAATTAATTTAGTTTGTTACAGACAGAGGCAGTTGTCATGCATATGTCCTATTATATATCTTATAAAAACACACCTAAAAGACACACATACTATTGAAATTACAAGAGAAATTTTGGACAACACCAAAATAATCTACTGTAATTCCAGCCATTCCCTTCTGAAATTAGCAGAAGCCATTTTCATCGACATAAAATAACTCCTGAAAAACAAACAAAAGATTTCAACATTATTCCCGACAAGAAAAATAATAATAAAATATACTAACAACACCAATGATACCGATGAAGACACTGAAGAACGTAGTCTCGACCAAAGTGCTATCAAAAAGCGAGTAAATGATACCAATAAAATTAGCGCAATAAAACATAAGACCGAAGTAATTAGCACAATAAAGCATAACACCGTAGCAATAAAACAACACCGAAGCAATAAAACAAAGAGACCATATCAGTTACTAAAGAAGACAGTAAAATTAACTGAGTCTTTAATTACAATAAATGCAAATCACAGGAACAAAAGCCTGGGTTATAAAAAATTTTCTATGTAAACTGCAACAAGTGCTGAAGATGATTGAAAAATGGAAATAGGTTCTATACACTCGAGAATGAAATGGAAAACTGTACATTATTCTAACTTTCATGAAATAAATAATGACGACAAGAATTTGGTTTGAAATATTGAAAAATGTTTTACAAAACTATCGAAAGGTAGAATTCGGTAGATTTCATCAATTACTACATTATATATATATATATATATATATTTATATATAAATAAGTATTGTATGAATTTTACCAAATTGTTGGCATTAAACAATTTAAAATTTGATTAACGCCAACAATTTGGTAACACACACACACACAAACACACAAACTCTTGTTAGCATTCACACACTTCCATCAGACGAATATCTGCCCTCCTATGTTGATGTTATAAATTAAGTGCAGAAGCAATTGATTGATCGTTTGAATGGTGGATGCGTTAATTGAATGATATTTTTTTGAATCTTCATTTTATTTTTGTTATTAGATACTCACCACGTCGTTATATTTAATCTCTCAAACTATTCCAATTTTGTATAAACAACATGCTACACTTTTCAGTTTGTTGTTTATCTTTTTTATTAATGTCTACGTCTCTTTTAAGCTTGTTATATGCTGTTTGTACCTATATCTTGTATGTATGTCTGTTTACTGTATGTAATGTTGAGTCCCTTAATGTTGATTTTATATTGTTGTTGAAAGTCTTTTAATTGTATGAAACTTTCAAGTTGTTTGCTGCATACAGATGTTTGCATCAATCGCACTTTTCTGAATATTTCACTTTTACGATCATATTTCTCACATATTTCCACCCCAGTAGCATGTGACAATGACTTTTATTTATCTCAATATTGTCTTCTGATTAGCATCAGACGGAATTCGTTCTGAAACTGCTCCAAATGCTTGCTGAACCAACGCATGTCTTCAATAATGCTCTGAAAATTTATTATTTATTTTTCATTTTAATTTTTTTTAATTTTCAAATTGCTATTTACTTTGAAAATATTTTTTATAAAAATTTTCCAATTTAAGCTTCTAACTTATTAAACCATCTTCTGAATAGAAATTAATGAAAGTTGGGTCGTGAGGTTTTATATCAGCTAAAATATCTTTCTCTTTCATTCTAATTAACTCTCCCATCATGCTATACTGTCAGAATTATGAAATAATACTGACTAAAAATACTTCAAAATTTTCAACGCAAAATTTATTCACTCGATAGGGGGCATGGTGCAAGTTAATTTACTCGATAGGTGACGACGATTTTTTTTGTTTTGCAATTTAGATGACGTCATAAATTATTATAAATTATTTTAAAATTTAATTAGTAGTTTTTTTTATTAATTGGACATACCTTGGAAATTTTTATGTTTTAAAACACCCTAAACAAAACCTAATTTTGCTTTGATAAGGAAGGGTGTGGAAGTGGAGGAGAGACTGGGTTGACTAGTTAGGCAGCTTCGAATAATCGGTGCCTGTTCTGGTCCCTAAGAGACTTAATACGTGATTCTATGCTCATTGGCATAGTTTCAGAAACTACAGAGAGACTGGGTTGACTAGTTAGGCAGCTTCGAATAATCGGTGCCTATTCTGGTCCCTAAGGGACTTAATACGTGATTCTATGCTCATTGGCATAGTTTCAGAAACGTCTTGAGTTCTCAAAAGAGTCAGCCTTGGGTTCACCAGTTAGGCAGCTTCGAATAATCGGTGCCTATTCTGGTATCTAAGAGACTTGATTCGTGATTCTATGCCCATTGGCATAGTTTCAGAAACGTCTTAAGTTCTCAAAAGTGGATTTGGTACGAGACTCTATGCACATTGGCATAGTTTCGCGCGCGTACTAAAGTCACACAATTTGTTTCCAGTGTTCTTCTGACTCTTGTTGTTTTGTGTCTGGTTGTGCGAAAGCCGACCGACTGACTGACAGACAGGCCCAGTGAAAACGATTCCGCCTCCTTCTTTTGTTTCTTGCGCTATTTGTCGACCTAGGGTTCCTTGCTGGATTCTATACTCATTGGTATAGTTTCACACGCAGCTTGCAATTTCCGCATTCGTTTCATTTATTTCTTGGAGTTGTATCGACATCACCATCGGATACACACGTCGAGGTTGTACGATTAAACGGCAACAAACATATCCCAAGTCG